TTCAATATATACATTTGTTGAAAGACGAACAAGATGAACCTACAATCGTTGAAAGGAGCTTCTTTATTTGATTACCATCTCTCCATGTAATTGAAATCCGACAAATATCAGTGAAAATAAAGTGCCAAGTACTAGCAAAGTCATCACAACAACTGAAGAAAGGACATCCATATGAGCACGAAGAGACGAGGTGAGCAACTGATCAGAAGTGAATAACACCTGAATTTTTTATTTTAAAGCCTTTCCGTTCAACTTTTAAAACTATATTATAGTTCATTGTTCTTTGCTTTCTATGAAATTCATTGAAGTTCATTGTTCTTTTTAATCTGTGGGCGGTAATTAAGAAATCCTTGTTTTCGGGGTTCAACTTTAAGCCATTCACCGCCGCGTTTTAATGGAGATTTTTGAAAAAACCCTAACTCAGAGACTCAGTTTTTGCGCGATTTTCCAGTTGAATAAAGTCCAGGCATTGTTCTCTTATTGTTGAGAAGTTTTGGGGGTTACTGGGTAGAGGAGGACCTCATAAGAGGGGACCTCATCGCCACGCCTCTTCCAACCCTTCCATCTCTCTTCGCGCTCTCCTGCATGGGTAAAAATAGCGATTATCCATGTTGCTGGGCCCTTCGTCTTTTCTAGTGTGTTTGCCCCTTTTCTATCCCTGTTTTTCACTATGAATCTTCATGCTTATCCACTTCCCATTCTTTCTTTTTCTCTTTCACACTTCCCTGCCCACTTGTCACTTGTCCAAATTGCTCGCATTTGCAAGAAACATATGCGTGAAACGTTTTACTGATATTTCGTTGTCAAACTTTGCAAACTACTACGAATCTTCTACTTATCTACAATCTACTATGACGACATTGTCTAACTCTACTATGATCGAGCTACCAGCCTTGTTAAACAATAGTTTTTGAACAGATATCACGAACTATATTTTATGTCATTTATCTAAAAGGGTGTCATTTATCTATCTAAAAGTCATTTATATTTTTTGGTAGTTTACTTTGAGTAAAAAAGTGAGGCAAAAGTTGATGCCTAGTCAAGGGAGCACTCTTTTTTGCGAGAGAAAGCACCGCCCTTTCGGCCAAATCCATCGAATGCTCATTTTTTTAGAACTCGTCATTCAAAACCTTCACCAATAAGCTAATTTTCTTTTTATCATCCGTCAACATATTTCCACAACTTCTATTCATAACACTCTGGCCAAACATGTCGCTTTTTAGTACGGAAAAACGGGAAACTCTATGGAATTTCGATTTATTTCGAGTTTTCGCTTTCTAAAGCCTAAAATCTTATATAGATTTGTAAAATTTTAACTTTGCTAGCAAAGATTTTTAGAATCTGGTGAATGAAGAAACCCTTTTAATAATTCTCAGAGCTGAGCTTCAATATTCAATTTTCTTCAACTAGACAAACAAACCAAATTCCATTTGAAATTTTATGAATGTATTTAAGGTATTTAAGAAAACTGGTATTTAAGGAGCAACGCTTTTCAAGTTTCAAGCTTTACTTCACAAGAAATTCAATCGGATTTAAAGTGAATCTTTGGAATCTAATTCGTCACTCAATTCTGGTAAACATTTTGCAAATTAAGCCTCAAACTGTTTCAAAGCATTTAAAACTATCTTTTTGCTTTCTTTACACGCTTTTATTTTAATATTTTGTCTACTTGGCGACATTGTTCATCCTTTTCATAGGTGCCGCACGGGGGGAAGCAAAGGAGACGAAAAAATGGTGGAGTGCGTATTCACGGCGTAAAATGCGATTACCGCCTTTGGCTGTGCTAGGTGGCCTCGTTTTTTGAACAAGAGAGACGAAGGGCTGGGAGGAGGAAAGCACCTATCTAACACATCCATATTCGACATCATTTCTCGATGATGGACCCTGTGACCCGGATGAGCCGGGAGCAAGACCGGCCAGGCTTATCGAGACCATCATGCACAACTATAGCCGGTACGATATCACTCGTTAGCTTAAGCCAACTCATATTATAAAATTAAGATCTAGTTACACTAATGATTGATATAACATGCTAAAAGAGAATCCTTTTCTAAGAGAAACTAATCTCACATGTTTGCAAAATCCGCCTATATACGGGGTGCATCATAATTACCCGAGCTCACTTCCAAGAGTATAGCTCAACCAAAATCAAACCGATCTCTCTTATTTTTTTAAGGGTAAATTTTCACTAGGTTTTCTGTAGTAGTGTCCAATATTTGGTCGGATAGGAGTAAGCACAAGTTTTATATAGACTCTGAAAGTTGAGAGACTTTTGAGGTTAGCAGGTTTTTGAGATTTTTAAAAAAGTTAGTTTTGACTAAATTAAATGAAACTTTCGCTAGTTTTGAACAAAATACGTTAAATCCTAAAAATTGGCAACTAGTTGCTTCAAAAAGAATGGTAATTTCATTTCCTATTTCTGATTTCCTAAGCAGCTTCTAGATTTGTTGTGATTTTGTTGTGATTGGGTAGATTTCAGAATCCAGCGGGTTTTATCCTCTTATGATTCTTCAAACTTGAACAGCTTAGCTACCCGTAAATAAAACCTATTTAGAGAGCGGCACTAAAATTTGTGCTTGGCCTTTTTTGAAGTCAGAGGATTCTTCAAGGCCAACTCTTTTTAAGCGGTCAAGCCCAGTGAATCTTTCAATCAAAGAATAGTGAGGCACATCGGCGTCAGGATTTGTCGTAGCCAGCAAAATTTTTTTGCACATTTGTGTGGCCGCTCGTTGAAGGATGGGGAGATGTGAGAGAAAATCCGCGTTTCTTGAATTGTCCAAACGCCAAACCATGTATGAAGAGTGCACAGAATCCGGCGATGCTTCGTAAGCCAAATAATGACACCCGAATTTTTGACCACATGTCACATAATATCCATTTATCCAGAGATCGCGGAAAATTTTGGAACTAGCATAGAAATCGGCTGAATCGGGAAAGAATTCGACGGAATTCGGGGTTGAAATCGTTTCATCACATTTCGAAAGTTGATTACTCGCTTCCAAAGCGTTTGAGAAGTGGTAGGTAAATTTTCGCCTTGATAACCCAGTAAAACATCCAATTTGCTCGGCGATTCCTCGGGTGAAACGAAATTGACCAAGTTCGATTCGTACAAGGCGTGCACTATTTCCGGGAGTAAGCCATAGAGAGTGAAAAGCGAAATACTCGACCCTCGGTTGAAATCCATAGGCACAATTCGGGAGGTTCTTCAGTTTGTCCAATTCTTTCGGGTCGTGCACAAAAAATTTCCCCTCGATGTGAACGATGTTGACACGCTTGTCGACCTCATCGGTCGACATCTGAAATGAAAAAGATAAGAAATGTTTGAAAGATTAAAAAGAGAAGAGAAAGACATTTAACAGAAAAAACCTGGAAAATTGTTAGTTACAAAACTTGTTTTGCGGCGTTAAACATGAAACACATAAAGTCTAATGATCCATTTAACTTTCAAAATGTTGTAAAATGTACAATTCATGCACTACATTTCATAAAAAGCTGGCAAGTGAAGGTTTTTATGTTTAACTGCGTTACAAGATATAAATTTTAGCAACTAGAATATCCCTGGCTAAAACAATCTAAAAACTTTAAAGTTTAACGAAAAATTTAAACCATCAGAGACGCGACAAATAATGAGCGAGTGGAGCGACAAAAAGCAATTCTCCGCCGCGAGATTTTTCGAAGAGTACGGTAGCGGATCCATGGATGCAAAAGTGCATCGAGAGATAAGCCGCTAAAGTTCTGTGAGTAAACAGCGACCTGGTGAGTAAATATTTTTGATAAACTGGGCGATTTCATGATGCGAAAGATTGGGTACGTTGAAATCGATCCAATAATAAATAAATCGATCAGCAGGTGATAAGATTGAGCACAGTGAAGCGAGCAAAAAAGGCTGACAATGAGATTTTACATTTAGCAAACAGCTTTTGTTTTCGTGCTAAATTTCTTTTTCACGTTTTAGAAAGCAGAACCTGCAAAACCTATTTGCTAAAGTGCGGAAAGTGACTTGTCTATGTCTATCGACGGTGGGCCCTCTAGGGGCTGGGAAAAGAAAGAAAAGAGTTGAGGGGTGGGTGGGGTAGAGACGCAGAATCGCCCCCAAGACATCCCTTCTGCTCACACACATCACAACACGGCTTAACGTGATAAATAGGGCATTTCTTTGTATCATCTTTGCGTCATTCACGAGGTTTTCGATATTTTTGAGTGCTTAGGCTAAACGCTATCGTTTTTGCTACTCGTTTACTGATCTCCTTAGCGTCAAATTTTTTTGGTTTTCATCAAATTCTGCAAAATTTTCAAATGTTGATCAATTTTGAAAGCTCATTTAACGGCTAAATTTGAGATTTAAACAAGTGAATCACCGAAAAAACTAACAAAACGTTACTGCTTAATTGCTGAAATTAACCCCGTTCTTTTTTAACTTTTAACTTTAAAAGATGAAACTTTTTATTTTAAAAACAGAAGTAAAAGATTTTTCTGCTCCAAATGAAAATAACTTTATGATGAATCATCTCTTAGATGTAAAAGGTTACTTTTTGCACCGTAATTGTTTCATTTTACGACCTCAAAAGAATTAGTTTTCCATTCCCAAATGAAATGTTACTCAAGTTGAAAACTCAAAATCAGTATCCAAAAAGGAAAACTAAAATACCCATTCGACGGATTTTAAAGACAGAAAACTCTTAAATTTTCGTGCTATTGTAAGTCTGATACGAAAATACTGTACTTCTCAACTGTCAGTCTAGATTTTGAGCTGATAGTCTGTATTTTGAAGGTTAAATCTTAAACAACTACAAAACTTTATGATGAGTCATCTGTTAGTCTTTTTTTCCTAACACCTTTTTCTTATTCCCGCAATTTTCCTCCATTTTACCCCTCGCAGCTTTTTGCAATTCCAGAAAAAAGATAACCGTGTGTTGACGCAATTTATCTTTGAACCTTCAAACAATTACATGCCCTTGTCTGGCCACTTTCACCCTCTCTTTCTTTCTCTCTTTCTTTCTCTCTTTCTACCCCTTTATCTTTTCTTTGTCCCGGACAATCACCTGGGTACATCTTCCAAAAATTCACCCGTTTCTCACGTTTACAAAAATTTCTGTAAACTCTGCAATCAGTTTCTTGACTTTATTTTGTTTTAGTGTTCAAAACAATTGATGAAAACAATGAATCTTTAAAAACTAACCTTCTTCCAGCGCTTCTCACCTTGTTTAACTTAAAACAGATTTTTGCTATGCCTTTGAAAGCTAGAATTACATCCTCTGATCTATTGAATCTATTGAGTCTGATCATTTATATCTATTTAATTCGTTTTGAATTAAAAAATTATTCTTTGAGAAGAGAAAAGTAGGCTTTCATATGAATTCTGACTTGGCTTTCTTTTATAACAATGTTTTAATGTGACTTCTTTAAAAACTAACCTTTTCCCTCTTATCGCCTTATTTAACTTAAAATCAACTTATTTTTAGATGAGTTTTAAAGGCTTTCTGACTTAAAACGAACTTCTGATCATTTAGCAATTTATAATTTTCTATTCTCAAGTTTGCAAGTGTTTCTAGGTAGTTTCTGCATCTTTTTATATACTTTGAAACGGATTTTCGGTACTTCTTTAGTATCGGGGGGGGGGGGAGGTAACTTTTGGGCAAACCAAACAAACCACAAATGAGGATTGATCGATGGAGAGTGCTACGATCAATCCTATTTTAGACGTTGGAGACCAGTCCAGCGTTTTCGGAACACCTAAATTTACCGCTTACCGAGATCTTGCCGTCGATCCCGATTAAGACTTTGCTTGGGTCAACCATTCGACAAATTTTGTCGATCCATCTGATTCAACAATTCATACTCAAACAATTGAACGTCTTTGGAGGCCTTTAAAAGATTCAAATCGTCGTCGTCACGGAACGCACGCGGGAATGATGGAGTCCTATATTGCTGAAATATTATGGCGCGTGAATCTACCTAATGGCAAAGACGTTTTTGAAGCAATTCTCGAGGGTATCGCTGAATTTTGGCCTTGTGGATCACCACTTGCAACTGTTTATTTCTTTTCTTACAAGGAATAGTGAAAGAAGAAGCAAATAAAAAATTAGTCATCAATCTGGATGCGGTAACGTTATTAGACAGGTACAGAAAATGAAAAATGAAAAATTTTGCCCCAAAAGTTACCCCGCCGGCGGGGTAACTTTAGTACCGGATTTTCCCTTGTTGCAAGAAATGGCGTTTCCTCGACTTATCAATCCATGATTAACCTTCAGTTGACTGTTTTTACATTTTTTAACTTGAAACCTAATATTTATTAGGCTGTTCAGAAAGTCTTTTCGTTCCTTTTTGTACTTCTGTTGAAAAATAACAAACAGATCTACTGCTAGATTACTTTTTGTCAGATATACTAGCAACTCACTGTACCTTGTAACGTTATTTAACTTGAAACTAACAATTGTGAAACTTTTCAGCATTGTGAAACAGACAAAAAGGCAAACTTTCGAATTTCAGGCGTTGATTTGCGTCAAATAAATTGAATTTTTTGAATAAGAAAATTGAATTTTTTAGTCTTTTGATCGGATTTATAACTTTCTTACGGTTTATTAGTACAGAACGAAAGAAGAGAAAGCAACAATACCGATTACAAAAACAACATGCACATAAAACATCAAATCAAATCAAATCAAATAGAGGGATAGGCTAATTTCCGCCATTTTATTTGCGCAATAGGGTCATTTGCGTAACTTGCCATAACTTTCTTCCAAGTGGGCCAATCTTTATGTTTTTGGTGTCATTTTGTAGGTCTCAATAAGTGCAACAAAATGACACCAAAAACATAAAGATTGGCCGACTTGGAAGAAAGTTATGGCAAGTTACGCAAAAGACCCAAGTTTGAGCTTCTCACCTCTCCATTTGATCCCTAATCAACGGTCCATAGTAATTTGCCAACCATCTACTAAAATGAGGAGTGAAAGCTGTCTGGATTGTCGGCATTAGCAATAGTGAAAACAAAATATCGATCAGCAACATGTTCAATCAGTTTTTAAGAAAATGGAGAATAATAGCGTCACCGATTGATCGAATAATTCAAATAACTAAAAAAGAGAGAAAAAGCGGCTCGAAACCCGTTTTCTTTCCGCAAACGTTCCAATCACTCAAGGCAAAACGGGGATAAAACTGGAAGTTCTCTCTATGTACACTATCCATAGCTTGCTCATAATATTGTTAAGCCCGACCGAGGTAAACTAGAAAATGTTATGATTCAGCAAACATTGGCTGGAAGTCACAAATATGACTCTTATCACTCATAATAGTTTAAAGTAAGAAAGTGTGAAATTTCAGCCTAGATTGGCGCAGTCGGTGGAGTTTAACTGCTAGTGGCCGGTTCTCTATGTGAATGTCACAAGTTGGCTTTCTACATGACTGTATTTCAACAACTGAAGGTTCAAAAATGTCTTTTTTTCTGATTCTCAAAAAATACTGGGAAGTTCGAAAACATCGGGTACACGATAAGGCAAAAAAGGTTTTGGCGAAAATTAAAAATCCGAATCATAACAATTCTAGTGTGATATCCAGATAAAAAAAAACGCAATTTGAATAAAATTGCTCTTGTCAATCTCTGCCTTTTTTCTGGGGACGAGCCTATCAAGTGGTATGAGCTGAAAAGTGATTTCAGTAAGGGAACACACCAATAAATGATGTTTCTTGCTAAACGTTCGGCCTTTCGATAACTTTCAGATTAATATGCACAACGTTTTTTGTTAAGAGAAGGGGGAGGGGTAGATCGATTAAGAGGGGGATAGGAAATCTCCAAGTCTTCGAAAGCGCATTGGGGCTTTTAAAAATTAATCTTTTTCTGACACTTTTCTAATTTACTGGAAGCCTAAGCTTTTACCTATTTAAATAATATGATAACAAGATGGCAAGTTAAAACGCATTAACTAATTGTAAGGGCAAAAAAGGTAAAAATGTGGGCAGGTTTTGGTTCCGCCCTCCAAATCGATCTTATCCCCCTCTTAATTGTAAAGATCCGTCTTTGTTTGTTTGTTTGTTTTTAACAAACGAGAAGTTTTCAGAGCACAAAGATCTCGTTAGCAGAAAAGGTGGAGATCATTTGGAAGAGAATTGAAAACAGAATGAAAAAAACTTGCTCCCTAGCCGATTTTTGTCACCCGGAGAACTAGGATTTGAATAAATTATGATTTACTGAACTAAACAACTTTTTTGCTTGTCTTGACTCTTGGATTTTGGCTTTTCGGAACAACCCGATCACGTAGTCAAGCCATTTCAATCAACTTGGATGCCACTAAAGTTTCACCTCCAAAGCGATGTCTCTAGCCGTTTTCCCGTGCTCATCACCATCATCAACATTCACTCCAAGCCTCATCAACATTTCAATCATTTCCATTTCCCCTTTTTGCTGGCATCAGCATCAACGGGGTTCTACCCTGAAAACTCTTGTTCTTGCAAGTATAGGTTGTATCACTCACCTCATGATCCTTGATGTCCCGATCGCTTCTATTCTCTCTTTTTCTTCGATTGAGGATCCTTCCGACGCTTTGAGGGCACATAAATATTCAACAAATTTCACATTATTATATTTGGCCGCATAATGGAGGCTGAACGACCGTTGTATGAGGGAGCGTCTTGGTCCTGAAATTGGGATTATTAGATGAGGTGATACTGAATGAATAAATAGGTGGGTGATTCATTGATGCTGCTTTTTAGCGGGTAATTAAACCTTTTGGATGACAATTTCAGAAAAATACGTGCGAATCTGAATCTATTGGGTTGAGTACTTTTGAAAATTTGAACACTTTTGAAATCAATGAGACATTTTCCGGTTACTTTTCCAAAAAAGTTGTCGCTATAATTTGCTGTAGAAAAAAGATAGGACATAAAAAGTTAGGAGTATAACCGAATTTTCGGAAGAACTTGCTCTTTCTCTTCGTTTTCTTTATCTTTCTCTTCTAAGAATTTAAGATATTTGAAACCAGTCGAAAACCGCGTCTAACAGCAGGTTTCTCTGACAATTGAAAAAATTTCAGTTTTTTGGCCTAAAGACCGCTGAAAAAAAGCCCGTACAGACGAACGAAAAGACACTTTTTAACAGTCGTCAAAAAGTCGCCGGCCAATTTTTCGCATTTTTCTCCCGTTATCGCATTCAAATAAATCGATCCCAATTACCCTAAAATTCCATAGATAAGAGCGGTTTAATTTTTGCCAAATTTTTTTTTTAATATTTTAATTTATTATAAAACCAAACAACAACAAGAACAAAAGTAACAATAATTTAACTAATATTTTCAATTTCTACATCGTCATCATCGTTTATGTTCATACCGGAAAAATCGTTTTTGAGGTTTTCAACATCACACAGTGCTTTTTCAAAGCCATGTATGATAGTGTCAGAAGAGATGGAAAAAAAACTTTCGCTGACCAAAAATGCTGCTTCTTGGTAGCTCATTCTTTTTCTGATTCCGCTTTTTGTATAATTTGCATTGCATACATTTGCACACTTCCGGAACGAAGAACATTTTTGCTGATGATCACATGGCAGTGGTTGTCCTACACTTGTTCTTCTTCGTATCGACAATTTTTTTCGTGCCATGAATAAGCTGCACCAACGCGGGGATGCCTTGAACTCGTGGTAGCCGTGCTCTTCTGCTAACTTCTTTGCTCTGGTTCTTATCTCATTTACTTTGACTTCGCTCTATTAAGGTCTCTCTTTTGAACAATCCAATTGTAAATTTCTTCCTCAATTTCTTCCACGCTTGGCCTTTTGTAACGCCGGGCTCTTTTTGTTGCTGGCATCTCCTCGAGGATATCCCTATCCGCAACCCATTTTCTAATCATTCCTTCAGTCACATTAAAATGAATAGCTGCCGCTAATGTTCCATGCGCATCCCGGTGCTTCACCGCATCAAGCTTGAAAGCCGCCGTATAAGACTTGCGACGTTGCATGAGTTCTAAAATAAAAAATATAAAACGTAAGGTTAAAAAACAAAAAAAATAAAAATAAGGAAAAAAATTAATATCCATAACAAAATTTCAGAAAAAAGTATTTTTTAGCGATAACCGCTCTTATCTATGGAATTTTAGGGTAGTTTTTTTGTAGTATTTTGTGAAAGCTTTAGGAGGATATTCTTAGATTTTTGATGTCACTCTAAATAGAATTTTTCAAGCTGCTTTTGCATAAGAGGATAAGGTCCTTTTTCCCAGATTTTGATCATGGCTTCAAAACTGCCATTAGCTTTTCATTTTTACCAGAACAAAAATAATAAATAAGTAATAGACGATCCAATCCCATCATAATTGAAACCGTTTTCAATGGGATCCATTCATTCTTAAAATAAAGATTTTTAAAAATCATGCTCAAATAAGGCTTTTCGATCATAAAACTCTTAGTTCAAAGGATATCGAAAAGCTAAACGCTTCATTTTAACAACTTTTGAATTCATTCGAGCACATTCATTGCATTCGAGCCGATGCTAAGACTTTTTTTGACGACTGTATAGAAATAGCGATTTTTATGAAAAATTTATGAAATATTATTGGAAAATTTGCGTAAATTCGACTTTTCCAGGGCAATGAGACCTACTGGATGAGATTGTGCGGCTGTGGGAAATCGGGTCAAAATGGGGAAGAGTATGAGAATTGTCCGGTAAGGAAAAATTTGAAGCGATTTTAAGAACCAAATAAAACTTATCGAAACTAAACCGTTAACGTTTCTATGAAAATCATCACTTTTCAGAACGGTGAACCCAAGGATAAAGAGTGAAGCTGTTGCAAGGGAGATCTCTGTAATAAGGACTAGATCCTGAAGATTTAAATATCGTTGAATACTTTGAAAATAAACGATTCAAGTCATTGAGATAAAATTTCTCAAAACTTTACTTCCAATAGCACAAAAGTACGCTGAAGTTGATGAAATTTAAGACTTGGAAGAGTACAAGAAAGAGAAAATGTGCCCACATAAAGTATTGGTAAATCTTTTCAGAAATCGATCTAAACTTTGAGTATTTTCAATCAGTGTTACAGATGATCAGATACCAACGTACACCGAGATTATCTTTTTGATCTAAATATGAATTTCAGAAAGTTTATTACTCAACTGATGACCCTACTAGCATTTTATAAAATTTCTCACCTGTCGAGTCTTCGACAACAAGACGAGTCCCCTGTTGTCAACACTGGCGTTGTTGCTCACGCACATCAATCCTTTCTGCCAGTTTTCCTCAACGACATGATCAAGTTCTCCGGGATTCCGCAGATTCCAAAGCCTAAACAAAAAGATGAATTGTACAAGGTTAAAAATAAAATTGTTTTATTTTAAGTCTGTAAACTTTTTAAATCTTAAGATTAGAAACAAAACTCGTGGCCCTTGAAAAAGTTAAAGTAGGGCTTTAGCTTAGCTTTAGACTCAAAAACGTACATTTCCCTCAAAGTCCCGCAATTCCACGCGTTGAACGAAATCCGGCTTCTCGAGACAATCTGTTGAGGAAAGCTCGGCACATTGATGAGGCGAAACAAGCTGCATTCGATTCTCCCAATCAACATCCGCCTGGAAAAAAATCGGAAATTAGAGATGAAAAACGTTTTCGCACAAAGAAAGAACCGATACGGGGTATTTTACCGAACATTCATCGTCGAAATACACAAAACAATACAAACAATTTTCATATTTTTTTGTCTAATTCTGACCCTAACTTTTTTAAACCAAAAACGCTATCAAATTCTTTCAAAAACTCTGGAATTGTTGCTCAAAATTCCTCAAAACTCAGTTTAAAATAGCAAAAAATGAGCAATTTAAAAGATAGAGACAAAATGGTAAACTAAAGCTTTATCCACTTAAAGCTTAAAACAAAATTTAGATTTGCAGAAACATTATATGAATTTGTAAGGTCAAACCTGATTTCCGGGCTCCGAGTTGACTTCAGACCACGCGACTACAGCATCAACAATCGCAAGCCATCGGTGTCCAAATTGGTGGGACGATCGACTCCAAGACGAAGGCGAGGTTGAGTAGTGACTAAAACAAAGCATGTACAAGGACTTTGACCAAAACAAATTGCTCAAGGACGCATCACCTTTAGTCCAAGCTCGCTCATCGCACAAAATGACGGATTGCGGATCAGCTCTTGCACCAAGGTCAAGCAATTCTAAAGATGAGGAAACTTCTCACTTATTATCTAAAAATAAACCAAAGGTACAGCTTTCTTGTTGTCATCGTGAAGCCAGCTGCAGCCATTTCTAAAGCAATCATATTAGCTACTATTTCATCTTGATAAATAAATTGATTTCTTGTTAATGTCAACTTGCCCTTAAAATCACCAAAACCAAAGTATTAAACTTTAAATACTAGGCATCTAAACCAACCGTTTGTTCGCATTTCTCCTGACTCCAAAGATCTTGTAGTAATCCCTCTTTCCGGTAGGTCTCTTCAATCATTCCACTTTTTGCACTCCTTCGCGAGCCCTCTTGTGCTCCTCACTTGCTTTCCGCATCGTTTCCATCTTGATTCTTCAGCAATTCGGAGCACTCTTGAATCGCCTCTCACCTCGAGAAAAGCCGCCAGCCTAAAAGATTTGGAGATAAAACTAATTACTAGCTTAATATTTTTAACTTTATCGTTATCTATTGTTAAAGATTCAAATTTGTGGTTTATCACATATCTTCCCAATAAAATCACATATAGGTTGCATTTGCACGTTTGCCGAAAGTCAATGCCCGGCTCCTTGAAATCGCCATTCCCCATGAAATGCTCGCCATTTGCAAACATTTGTCGTAACTAATTAATGTGCTCGAATTTGGCGGCCACCTCGTTGTGGTTCAGCTCGACATCACTAAACATCCCAATAAAATTATTTCTTAAGTTTTTAAAGCTTGATCGAACCTGGGATCATTGA